ATTTAGATAATTGACTAATTTCATCGGGCTTGATCGATAGATATAACTGCGTATCATCTGCATAACAGTGAAAGTTAATGGTGTGATTCCTAATAATGGTGCCTAAAGGGAGCATATATATAGTAAATAGTATTGGTCCAAGTACAGAACCTTGTGGAACTCCATGACTAACTGTAGTATTTATTGAAGAATCATCGTTAACATGTACAAACTGTGAACGATTTGATAAATATGACTTAAACCAGCTTAGTGCAGTTCCTTTAATGCCAATTTGATGCTCAAGTCTCTGTAAAAGAATATTATGGTCAATGGTGTCAAATGCAGCACTAAGATCTAATAATACAAGTACAGAGACAAGTCCATTGTCAGAAGCAATCAGAAGGTCATTATTAACTTTAACCAGAGCTGTCTCTGTGCTATGATGAACTCTAAATCCTGACTGAAAATCCTCAAATAAACTATTGTTATGTAGAAAGTCACACAACTCTTTGGTGACTACCTTCTCCAGAATCTTAGAGATGAAGGGGAGGTTAGAGATTGGTCTATAGTTAGCTAAAACCCCTGGGTCAAGAGTGAGCTTTTTAAGAAGGGGTTTAATTACAGCTACTTTAAAGGACTGTGGTACATATCCTGATAATAAAGAAAGATTAAACATATCCAGTAAAGAAGTGCCAATTAAGGGAACAACTTCTTTAAGCAGCCTAGTTGGGATCGGGTCCAATAGACAGGTTGATGGCTTCGATAAAGAAATGATTGAAGTTAAATGATGAAGATCGATAGCAGAAAAACAGTCTAAATATATATCTAAGTTTACATTAGCAAAAGTCCCTGAACTTGGAGAGCCACTGATAGCTGTTTATGGCAGTTGGTGATTAATTTTCTCTCTAATAGTAATAATTTTATTATAGAAGAAGCTCATGAAGTCATTGCTACTTAAGTTTATGGGGATATGTGGCTCAATAGAGCTGTGGCTCTCTGTCAGCCTGGCTACAGTGCTGAAGAGGAACCTAGGGTTATTCTTATTTTCTTCTATTAGTGCTGAGTAATAGGCTCCTCTGGCATTACGCAGGGCCTTTCTATAAATTTTAAGATTATCTTGCCAAATTGAGCGATATTCTGATAATTTGGAAGAGCGCCATTTCCTTTCAGATTTCCTAGCTATTTGTTTTAACTGGCGGGTTTGGTGGTTGTACCACGATGCTAGTCTCCTTTGTTTTAATAATTTCCTTTTTATAGGAGCGATAGAGTCTAATGTTCTTCGTAGTGAGCCTGCAGCACTATCGACAAGATTATCAATTTCAGAGGGACTAAAGTCGTTATAGGATTCTGTTAAATTCAGACATGGCATTGAATTAAACACTGAAGGAATCTCCTCCTTAAATTTAGCTATAGCACTGTCAGATAGACATCTGCTGTAGGAAGTTTTGCCTAATGGCTTATAATCTAATAGTATGAATTCAAAAGTTATTAAATAATGGTCAGATAGGAAAGGATTATGTGGGAAGACTATTAAATGTTCAATATCAATGCCATATGATAGAACAAGGTCAAGAGTGTGATTAAAACAATTAGTTGGTTTATTTACACTCTGACAGAAGCCAATTGAGTCTATTAATGATATAAATGCGTTACTAAGGCTGTCATTATTAACATCCACATGAATAATAAAATCACCCACAATAATTACTTTATCTGATTTAAGGACTAAACTTGATAAAAACTCTGAAAATTCAGATATAAAATCAGAGTACGGTCCAGGAGTGCAGTACACTATAACAAATAGAACTGGCTGCAATGTTTTCCAGGATGGGTGAGAAAGACTAAGAACAAGGCTTTCAAATGAATTATAATTCAGTTTAGGTTTAGGGTCCATTAAAACGCTCGAATCATATATGGCTGCCACTCCACCTCCTCGGCCAGTGCCTCAAGGAATGTGAGTATTGATATGACTGGGGGGGTGGATTCATTTAGGCTAACATACTCCTCGTGGGACAACCAGGTCTCAGTAAGACAAAGTAAATCAATATCATAATCTGATATTAATTAATTCACTAAAACAGCTGTAGAGGACAGAGACCTGATATTAACAGTCCAAGTTTCATTCTTTTATTTTGTGCTACTGAGGAGTTGGTTTTAATTTTTATTAGGTTTTTATGTTTAATTCCTCTTGTTTTTATTTCTCTATGGGGTTTTGGGTGGGTGACTGTTCTAATGGAAGCACAGAGAAGTGTGTAAGACAGCAGCTCTACTACCTGGTCCCAACTCTGGACTGTCAGGTTTTAGAAATAAACTTTGTCATATTCCTAGATAAGAGAGCCGCTCCATCCAAAGTGGGATGGATGCCATCTCTCCTAATCAGACCAGGTTTTCCCCAAAAAGGTATGTGACAGATCAAGCTTTCAACATGTGTGTGTTCATATGAGAAAACAAATAGACTGTTCAAAATGTTTCATTGAAAGTTTGCAATATTAGAAATATTGTAAAACATTCTACCTAGCAACCAGCTATACTTTACTGCTGGCCTAATGCTTGGTGTATGTGAACCACAACACATTGACACTACTCAGTAATTTCATGTCATATTATTTATTTGTTTCTTTTTCATGTATTCATTCATTTACAACTCCAGGACTCCAGGCTGTCCTTGTTTTGCTCATCGCCAGTCTTAATACTGTGTCCGTGTCATCTGGTGTTGATGTCCTGGGATTATGCAGGAAGGGTCATGGTTTAATTAAAATTACTAAAGTAACTAAATAAGTAATAACCACAATGATGGGAATAATAAGTATGTAGTAATAATAATAATAATAATAACAATAAGTAATGCTATCAATAACACTGATAACAATAGTAATATTGATGAGTAAAATATATTATATATATTAAGAAAGAAAACTATTCTTAATGTGGAGTCATAGGCAGTGTAGATTGTTGAAACTTTTAGAAAAGTGTCCACCAGACCCCCTACCTGTTAACATACAATGAACGTTGTGATGATGTAGACTTTTATTTTGACACACCACTCTCAGCCCGAAAGCAATAGTGCAGTAACTACAGTCTGAGTGTCTTCTTCCTCACAAAATAAATCTAACTTGATGTTTTATAACATTACTTAATCTGTATTACTTGTGTCATGTGTAACAAGTTGAAATAGATGGCTAATTAAGAATTTAAGTGTTTTTTGTGAGGTTTAATTAGCACAGTAATGCTTTGTTCTAACGAGAGCTAGCACATTAATAGCTTGTTCTGTCTAGCGAGCACAAGCATAGTAATACCTTGGCTGTGTCTCATTCCGCCTACTTGCACACTGCAAACACTTAGTTTTAAGTATATAGTGTAGATAACACAAAAAGTCAGTGCACTGAAAGTACCCGGATGACCACCTAAAAACGGTCAAAAAATTCAGTGTGGAATGATGGACCCTACTCGCACTGAAGGGGAGGGACCATTGGGACGAGCACGTTATAAATGTGAACTCTATCGTATAAATGTAAGTAACAGCGGTAATACGCAACGTAACGTTTTACTGTCATCTAATGCATGACTTATATGTCCTCACTGACACTGACTGAAGCCAGACACAATCATTTAGCGAGTTAATTAGCGCAACGTTACATGTTAATGCTACCTAGCTACCCTAACCTGCGTTGGCGTCGGAGGCAACGTAGTTTCCACATGCTGTGAACTGAGCGGTAAATGAACGTGCAGAAAAATGTTTGTAAACAAAAGCCGGCATATATTTTTGGCGGGCTGGAAAATCACGTTCACGCATGTTGCATTTGTTGCGTTTGTCACGCTCATGCCGCTCGTCATTTCTGGTGTTTTAACATAAGTGTTCCTTCTGGGACAATACTAACCATCGAAAGTGGGCACTACGGCAGTAAGTGGTCAGTGCATATTAGCAGTGTACTGACGGAAGTATGCAGAATGAGACACAGCCCTTGTCATCCTGTCTAGCTAGCGCTAGCATTTTAGTACCATGTCATTCTCTTTAGCTAGCTAGCTAGCCAGCACTAGCATTTTAATACCTTGTCAGCCTCTGTAGCTAG